CGCAAGGCTGCCCCCCACCCGCAAGGCTGTCCCCCTCCCGCAAGGCTGCCCCCCGCCCGCCAGGCTGCCCCCCGCCCCCAAGGCTGTCCCCTGCTCTCTCCAGGTCTGCTTACTCCCTCTCGGGGGCCACGGCCTTTGTCTTGGAATGTTCTGGTGAGATGTATTTTAAAAGGTTCCCTGAGCGGGTTTGGGTGTGTGGGATGGGGGCGCCTGGGGCCCGGCTGTGGAAGTAAGAAGCAGGCTGGCTGCCACTGGGCCCTGGAGTCCCTGCGACGGGCTGAGAGTGGGTGGCAGTGTGAGTCAGTGGTCCCATGCGGGGGACACGCGGCTGTCCTTCCCCTGCCGTGGCCTCGCGAGCGCCCTAGAAGGTCAGTGTCCCCATCTGGCTCGCTCATGGCAGGGACATGAATAGAGAGGGGGGGAGCCTGAGCTTTCGGTGCTGGAACAGGAAGTCGCCTGGGTGTGGGTGTCTCCTGGGAACAGCCTGTTCTCCACGGCCTGCAGAGAGGCTCCCGGCGGCGGCCGTGCGGAAGGCAGGGCCTGCCCCTCGCAGGCCCCGTGTGGCTGGAGGTCTGGGGGCGAGGTGGCTTTCCCTCCAGGGACAGGTGGGAGCTGGTTCCAGGGCACGACGAGGGGCCTCACCATCGGTCACCCCCAGCCCAGCAGCTGGAAGCCCCCAGACCCTGGCGGAAGTGGCCACAATGCCTCCCTGAGCATCGGTCTTCGTGTGTCCTGGGGACGGTCCTGTCACTGAGTCAGCGTTCAGTGAGTCACCATCAAGCACTGTTGGGGCGGGCGGTGCGGAGACACGTCACAGGGCACAGCCGATGAGCTGGGGCGCGACGGGCTCAGGGCAGGACAGGGGGTGCCCCTGAGTGGGGGGCGGACGGGGCGTGCAGCAGCGATGCGGAGGGTCAGCAGTCGCCGGGGGCTTCCAGGGCCGGGCCTGGCGTGTCTGAGGACCGGCAAGTGCCAGGGGCCGGGGCACAGGGCAGGCCCGAGGCGTGGCGGTGGGCCCTGGAGGCCCTTCCTGCCGGCGTGGGGACTTCTTCCCGGGACAACAGGGCCTTTGGGGCGGATGTGGACGAGAGGGGGACGCGATCTGCCTTACGGCTCGGACAATTGTCCAGCGCTTCATTGAGATGCGATTCCTGTGCCATAAAGTTGACTCTAAGGTTCACAGTTCGTGGTTTATAATCCACTCGGCGTTGTGGAACCATCTTCACCTAACCCGGGAGCCCCCCTCA